AAAAAAGAAAAGAAAAGAAAAGAAAAAAGACAATGACAGGGCCTGAGGCACAATTTCACAAGGAGCATCTCAAAGGCCAAAGCTGGCCCTAGCCTGTCTCATATAACCTGTGAGGTACCAGGGCTTTCATGTTTTCAAAACTTCCAAAGAGTAGGAACTCCATTTCTTAGGTTCCCCAGGAGAAACTGACATGGGAGTTAGAAAATAAAAACAAACATAATAGCTGAGTTCAGGTTGAGGATACTTCCTGTTGGGCAGAGAACAAAAATGGCAACAGTAGGGGCCTCTGTGTATACCTTTGCAAAGTTAGTTTCAGGAAATATAAGGCCTAACAACCTCTGGCTGAACTTATCCAGGAAGGATGCTTCTCTCAAGACTGCTATAGCTTGACTGCTTTAGGCACTGTGGCCTTGTCTTGCCCTCTCACATATGAAAAAGTAGTGCTTGTTTTCTCTGAATAATGTGAAATTCACATGTCAGTGGCTGTATACTTTGGCTGAAGCACAGCCAATGGTCTGCCGGTCGGTGGTTGGTGCACTTTTCTTCCCCTGGTAACAGAAATAGAACTAAGGGCCTTGAGCTTGTCAAGAAGGCATTTGTGCCACTAAGCTACATCCCTGGCAGCAGTTGGCACTCTTGACAGAGGTAAGTAGTCACCACCGAGATGCACAACCCACCACACTCACAGCTTTCCTCACCTGGCCTTTTACAGAGAAGCAAGTTTTCTAAACCCCACCCTAGACTCTGAGGGTCATCCCTTTTTTTTTTTTTTTTATTTATTTAATTATTTATTTATTTGTGTGTATGTGTGGCCAGCTCAGCCCACCAGGGGGTGGGGCTGGCTGGCATGTGGTGCTGGGGGATTGAACCGCGGTCCCTGCGCTTTGCTAAGCTTGTTCTAAGTAGGTGCTTTAGACCACTGAGCCATCTCACCAGCCCCCATCCCTTCTTGAGTAAAGGCCAAACACATCATTGCAGAGATTTTGACACACGACCTTGCTTGTCTTGAGGCATTTTTTGATCATCAACTGGGCTGAAATATGTTCTCTTGAGGAGGTCCAGATGGGCAGGCCCAGGCCTCCCATGGCCCCTGGTCTGGGTATAGCTCTTGTAGGTATGAAGAGAAGCAGGCCTGATGAAAGCTGAGGTCACCATAAGGGGCATAGGCAGAAGAGGCCACCACAGGGGGCACAGGCAGAATCACTGCTGTGGCCTAGACCAGAGGGAAGCAATGTAGGATCTAGTCTTCACGTTATGAAATTGTGTACATTTCCAGAGCAGTTTCATGGTAACATCTGAGCAATTAGCGGAATAGGGTTGGTCTTTCTGACTTCCATGTGGTTCCTGAGGATCAGGTAGTGACAGATTTGGTCTTTGCATTGAGCAGGGTCCTGGCATTGTCAGAATCCTTCACCCTCTCAGAGCAGGTCAAGTGCCAGAGACTTTCAGTTTGGGAACAGCAAGTTCACCTGCTTGGGGTTGGAATGGCATTCAGGAGTAAGTTCACTTCTTCACTACAGGTGCAGGCGTCAGGCCGGGTCTGAATGGCCAATTCTGTGCCCAGTCCATGGGCACTGATGACTGGTCAGCAGCCAGCCCTTCTGTGGGCTTCAGGCCTCCTCAGAGAGGGTCCCTGGCTGAGCAATGACATTGTGCCAGCCTCCCTACACTTATATTCCTGTATTCTGAATTTTGACCTATCACCTTGCAAACTTCTGACCTCTGGCTCCATTCAAATCTGCTAATTTCCTGGGCCATGGCCTAAAGTCTGTTCCACCCTCCTGTGAGAACTCAGCAGTGTGATGGGGTGGGTATGGCCTGTGCCCTAGTGCCAGGCTCTGGGGGCATCTTCCACGCCTTGTATCACCATGCATGGGAACTCAACTTCCTTTCAGGTGGACACTTGTAGCAGTGGTGGTGTGCCAGCCTATGCTTGCTCAGGGACTGACTGCAGATGACCAGTGTTAAACTACAAGAAAACTGAGTCTAACTATAACCACTGCATGCATACTCAGAGCACAGACACTACAAACTGGATAGTCATTAAAATGTTCCTGAACCCTGAGGGAGCACTTCATCTGAAAACAAAAAATTTAATACTTAATATAGCACTTTCCTGCCTCTCATTTAAAAAAAAAATTTTTTAAAGCATTTTTTTAAGGTTTTAATTTTATTTATTTGTGTGTGTGTGTGTGTGTGTGTGTGTATGTGTGGCCAGCTCAACCCACCAGGGGGCAGGGCTGGCTGGCATGTGGTGCTGGGAGATTGAACTGCAGTCCCTGTGCTTTGCTAAGCTTGTTCT